TTCGGCAACGGTCCTGACCCTCAACTTGTTGAGAAGAAGTATAACAACTCAGTAAGATGGGGGAAAGCTCGGACATGACCTGGGGGTTTGTGGTTCGTGAATGCAGAATATGCACCCCCACGCGACCATACAAGCTGACCTGCATCCAACCTGAGGTAGGGAAACGTAAACACTGCCACTGCATGAGAAGTACTGGTGTCCTCAGAAATTAAACGTCATGCCGCTGGTCAGTGCTCAAGAAGGAGCTGCTGGGACAGGGCCAGCGGGGACATGTCATTAGTAGCGACGTAATGACATGGTAGTTGACAGTGAGTTGTAAGCTGGGGCAAGCCAACGGACATGCCATTGCCAGCCACGTAATGGCGTGGTAGTTGACAGTGAGTTGTATGCTGGGCAAGCCAGCGAACATGTCATTAGTAGCGACGTAATGACATGGTAGTTGACATTGAGTTATGTGCTGGGGGCAGGGGCCAGCTGACATGTCATGGTAGGGACATAGTGACATGGTAGGTGACAGTGAGTGGTATGCTGGGGCAAGCCAGCGGACGTGTCATTAGTAGCGACGTAATGACATGGTAGGTGACAGTGAGTGGTATGCTGGGGCAAGCCAGCGGACGTGTCATTAGTAGCGACGTAATGACATGGTAGGTGACAGTGAGTGGTATGCTGGGGCAGGCCAGCAGACATGTCATTAGTAGCGACGTAATGACATGGTAGTTGACAGTGAGTTGTAAGCTGGGGCAGGCCAGCGGACAAACTTGACCGTCCTCCGCACCGGGGGGCGGCCGGGTGACTCATCCGGCGTGGCGTCAGCTCAAGGCCGCGACGGGCCTGTGGCCGGCGGTCGGACGGCCGTTGATCCGGGGTGTCGTCTTGCACCGGTCTGCAGCGGGCCGACTGGGTGTCAGGTCACTGCTGGCATTGGGCCACTCTGTGGAAGCACGAAAGCCGGCTGCTATGCTGCATTGATGATCTAGTGGTGACGTAGCATGACAGCCCAGGTAAATAGGCAGGCCAGTCAGGCATGGCCATGGGTGGAGAAAAGGGGGTTTGAGGGTGCACGAGCACCCCCTCATATCGCAAAGCACCCCCACAAACAATGCAAAACCAACATAGCAGCTTGTTAACCAAAGTATCAACAGAAAAGCACCCCCTGGGATTTAGGCAAATCTCCACCCCTGGGTATGGCCGGCTTTGTCGGGCATGCCCTCGGGATGGCGTGCCAGTGTGCGGTTAGGGCATTGTTTAGTGCGAACCTATGACACTGGTGCATGTAACCGAGCAAGATTGTGAAGGTGGCGCTGGCATGGCATGACATGCCAGTGGGCAGGGCATAGTTCAGGGCCAAGCTACAGGCTGGTGTATGTGACCGCCCGGAGGGCCAACTGAGTATCTGAGACGGGCGGCCACATTAGTATGGGGCGAAGGGTAGTAACAGAACAAAAGTGCCAACTGCCAGTATTCAAGCAACTTGGCAGACTAATTGGCTGACGAAAATTAGACCGCCGGTTAGAGGGGCGCGCCATGATTGCCTCGTGCGAAGGGCCCGCGCGTAACTAACAGGCCGGATAGCTGGTAACTCACCGGTGTTCCTTCTTGGTCGACCCATGGTGGCGGTAGCCGCCGCTAAAGCTATCACTCTACTCTCCGCGGGTTTCAACCGGTAAACAAAAAAAAAAAAAATTGCTGCGCGCACTCCGTCGCTCGGCGTCCTAACGGAAAAGGCCGCTTGGGCTGCGTTGCCTCGAGTCCAAACATAAGTCGTATGTCGGACATACTTACGTGCAGTTGTGGTAGCCGTTGTGGTTCCAGTGCCTGCGCCCACGCTGTGAGTTGCTAAAATACATGCATGGTAGAAATCAACGCTGTTACAATATATCACCCACGATCTAAAATCTATATATCTGCGCCTGTCGTGTGTGCGCGACATCTGGTGGCACTATGCGACCTGTAGTTCTCCCCGGCGCACCTAGGTGGCACGGCCTGTTCCGTGTTGAGGCACGACCTGGCGCTGGCGGAGGTGGGAGGTGACTAGGGCGCAACCTCCCGCTAATATAATTTGCACGGTTCCATCGTGAAATGACCATTTTCGTAAAAACGGCTATTTTTTGAGTTTTTGCCCTCTGGAGGCTAAACCGTTGACCTTAGGTCAAATCTGAGAGCATTACACAGAAAGGTCTGTAAAAGTTCAAGTTCAAGTTCAAGTTCAATGTATTTACGGACAGTTCCAAGTGCTGGCTTACTGTTTGGTCCGAGTCAGAATACATAAGGGCACAAGGGTAAAACAGGAGCACATCATGAAATAAAAATCACTTAAAATACAGTATATGTACAGTTGCCGACCATCGTCACACAATGCAGCTAAAGCCGACGCAGAAATTCGGCGCGGGTCCCAGAGCCAGTGACGGCCGGCGACAGGCGGTTCCAGGACGAGGCTGCCCGGTACTAGAAAACCCGGCGTGACGATGACAAGCGAAAGGCGGGCAGCTCAAGAGCGCCCGCCTCCGTCGACCGGGTAGTGCGCCTAGAGACGGCAGCACGTGAGGTGAACAGAGAGCGGACTGCGGCGGGGGGGCGCGGGTCTCTCAACGCCCTGTAGACGCCGACGCTGTCACGGCGCGCCACCAGTTCGTGGACGCCGCACCAGCCCAGCGAAGCCAGAGCCGGCGAGACACGGTCATACTTGCGCACCCCCGACACAACCGCGCCCCGAAATTGACCACCTTCTGCACACGATGAAGGTGGCACGCAGCAGCCCCGCCCCAGAGTGAGAGGCAGTATAGGATGTGTGGAAAGACATGACACTGGATAAGGAGTTTGAGGGCTTCGGGGTTGAGGTGATGGCGAATTTTATACAGACACAAAAGGATGGAATTGCACTTTTTGACAACATTGGAGATGTTGTGCTTTTCCCAGGAAAGAGTAGGATCTAGGGTTACACCCAGCATCTTCACAGAAGGCGAGGGTGTTAGTACATGGTTTGGCAAGTTAAGATGGAAGGAGCAGGTTTTCTTAAGGTTCTGGGATGTGCCGACAAGGAGCAGGGTGGTCTTGGATGGGTTCATTTTCAAGGAATTGTATGTGAAGTAGGAAAGGACAGCTAGGAGGGCGTCCTCCTGTCGGGCTTTAAGGACGGACAGATTGTTAGGATGAGCGGAGTCTAGCAGCTGGGTGTCGTCGGCATAGGACACTAGACGTCCGTGAGGAAGGTAGGATGGAAGGTCATTTGTGAAGATGCTGAAGAGGAGGGGGCCGACTAGGGAACCCTGGGGAACTCCGTGGGAAAGTGGCAAGGAGAGGGAACCACCTCTTACCACCTGCCGCCGACCTGACAGGTAGCTCCGGAACCAAGCGGGATCTATTCCGTACCAGCAAAGCTTGGTTAGGAGGACGCCATGATCAACGCTGTCAAATGCCCGGCTCAGATCAATCGACGTGACGGCAACAACGTCGCCATCGTCGACACGCCGCGTCATCCACTCGACAGCGTCGATCAGAGCGTCCTCCGTAGAATGTCCGGTTCTGTATGCATATTGTGAGTGAGTTAAGATGTGAGCGTGAGCGAGATAAACAGACAGTTGTGTACAAACAATTTTCTCACACAGTTTTGATAAAACAGGTAAAATAGAGATCGGTCTAAAATTGTTCGGTTCGTCATTAGCGCCGGACTTGTGCAGAGGCACAACTGTTGCGAGCTTCCAAGTGTCGGGAAAGGTAGAAGAAACGATGGATGAATTTACAATATGCAGTACGTGGGGACCGATGACAGCAAAAGATGATCGTATGGCATGCAGCGGCACATCGTCATGCCCGACTGCTCGAGATGACGACAGGCGGCGCAGCGCCAGCGACAATTCCGGGAGCGTGGCAGGCTTTAGGCGCAGACCCGCGGCGGTGACACACGGCGGTCTCGGTGAGAGAGGGGAGGGGTCTCCGGCGGCCAGCTCGGCGGCGATCCGCGACCTGACAGCCGCGAAATGGGTGTTGAATGCGTCCTCTCGGCCCGGCGGCATGCCACCACCAGCACTCCCTCCCCCTCGGCCAGGACGGAGGGCGAAGTCCTTAACATTGCGCCAAAAAGAACGACGATCGGAAAGCAAGTTAACTGATAAAAATTCGCGCTTACACAGGATCAGTCGCCTTTTAACACCGTTACGCAACCGCCGATATTCGTCCCTGTCCGCATCAGTCCGGGAGCGGCGCCACGCGCGGTAAGCCGAGTCTCGCTCGTGTATCAGCTGCTGCAGCTCGGGGCAGTCCTCTAACCAGGGACAGCGCGGGCGGCGAGGAGTGACAGTTTTCGGGGGGCAGTGTACATCAAACACGCTCCACCAAACGCTCAAAAAGGCACTCACTTTGTCGTCCACCGAGACTGAGCCGTACACAGCACTCCAATCCGCTCGCAGAAAATCCAGACACACAGCGTCCCAGTTAACCTTACGCCAGGGGCGCGCAGTGAAAGGGGCGGGCCGGCGCCGGAAAAGGGCTATCGAATGCGCTTTTCCGCGGCGCTGTAGCTCTATCGGTTCCCGAGATAGCCGTTGGCAGTTTCCAAAATGTTGAAATAGTCAACATTTTACCTTTGGTAACCTCTGGTGACCTGACCTTTGACCTGACCCAAAAAATGACTGAAGTGTTTTCGTCCTTATTTTGGACGTTCTTTCGATTGCCGCTTACCGCGTGTCGCTACGTGGCCCAGGAGCCGAGTTAGAAGGGGGCGGGGGGGGGGGGGGTGTTCAGACACCCCCCCGGCCCTTCGCGAAATCTCAGAGCACCGGCCCGGCGCGGGTTAAGATATGACCACTGACCAGCGTGACATTTTTCATGTAACAGTTGCTCCGTCTGGCGACTGGTGTGCTATCCGTGCGGTCAGGTGTCTGAACTCAGCATTTCCCCTGAATGACCTGGGCGCACGCCGCACTCATTGGCCACCTAGCCGCGGTCGGCTGGCGCAGACCGCCACACGGACCGACCTGTGCAACATGCGCTCCCTGTTGCAGTCGACGGTGTGTAAACGCATCATGGAGAGGCTGGGCCAGGAGGCGATCGAGCAGGAGCACCGCCGGGTGGTCTGCATCAGCCAGGACAGCTTCTACCGCAACCTGAGCTCGCACCAGTCGGAGCTGGCCCGGCGCGGACAGATCAACTTCGACCATCCCGGTGAGCGCCACTGCACCGGAGGCCGGATGGAACCGGCCAGATCAGATGGATAGACATATTTTAAAGGGGTTGATAGATTACAGGTTTTCGCGATAACTATATGTTTTGATTTAAACCGCGCCCCACTGCACTAGGGTCAGCGTATAACGCGCCCTACTGGCGGGGGGGGGCTTCATAGCCCCCCTCCTAACTCCGAAACTACTGGGCCGATCGTCAAAATTCAAACGGCGTCTGATAGCCCCGGAAAAACATGTTGAGCGAAACCTAATTTCATTGACCTTGACGTCACCGATGACGTCACAGGTCAGGTCAAAGTAAACATTATCGATAATTGGCTTGTTCACATTTTGGGTCTTACAAGTCAGATCAGGCTCATTTTCGGTTTACACACTCGTGACCAGATGCTTTAGATACCCTAAGGGTACCAAACTTGTACTTTGATTTTCAAGTCAGGGTGAGGTCATCACAAGTCACAGAAATCTTATATCATGCCACAATGGGATCGGAGCAAAAATTAGTGCGATATCGGTACTTTTTCGTGTTTCGTGCCCGCTTTTCACATGAAAGGGATGATATATGTTGTTTTAAAGTCATTTTTTCCCAGGAAATTAGCTATGTATAGCTGTTAGAGTGAGTTTGCGAAATCGGTGGATCCGCGGAGTCCCTAGGGAATCCACGGAGTCCCTAGTGGCTCCGCGGATGAACATCAAGTCTAGTATATTCGCGGATAAACGGGCGGGGATCCGCGGATGAACAAGACTCTTCAGGATAACCGCGAACTCCCTGAAGAGTTGACGAGATCCGCGAACCACCCGGGGAATCCGCGGAGTAACGATTCATTCTAGTGAGTTTGCGAAGTTCCTATGCGTTTCGTGCAGCTATCTTATGACAAGAATGCAAGGCATATTGGATAGATCGTCTGCGACTTAACCCTCACCCGTATTGGTGTTTTCCCAGTTGCTGTTGGAATTCACCGAGTAGGTACCGATTCATTCTAGTGAGTTCGTGAATTATTCTTTCATCTCGCTTAGACGTCGCTCGCAAATATTAATATGCAATTAAATAATGGACGGTAAGCCATTTTTGGCGTGGTTGAACTTCTGCGACCAGTCTGCTTACATTTCTCCCAACCATTAATGGAAAGCTGGAAAGGCTACCGCGCATCTGAGCGATCATGTGATTGTATGCAAGTATGTATGCATAACAGTAATGCTCACTCTTCTCCAGGGACGAAGCTTCCCGTACAGTTGGTGGGGCAGTTGCCCCCCCCCCAACTTGCCCTTTTACCACAGCCGACCTGACTCGACCGGTCAGCACCGCGCCTATCAGACGCTCCAGCCCGGCGCCACAGTATCTATTCTGGGGAACATTTGGACTGGAGGGGCAATGGCAATGCTGAACTTCGATACAAGAACCCAACACGTACATATCAACCCGCCTTTGAATATAGTTATTTGACCCAAGTTGACCGTAATTGGCTGAAGCCATTGCGTACTTGCAAACAAACTAATGAAAACTTAATCACGCATTGGCATTAATTGAGGTTGTTGGCTGTTGCGTCTCAAAGGCGATTAAAAAGACAGGATGTCCCCTATGCTATTTGGAATCGACCTGGAATGTCAACCAAATACCAATTGGCCTGGGGCCGTATGGTTTGGGTATTATTGGCTTCTTCTATGTAACCACGGAAAGCAAGCTATTTTTTTCCGCGAAAGGTTTAGCTCGATCAGGGGCCGCACAACAAGGGTTCCAACGGAACCCTCCCCCGCGGACCCCTCCTCCCGCACACGGTAGCGTCCGAGAAAACAATAATACGGGCGAGGGTTAGCCCTCGCCCCGTTGGGGGAGGCAATTTGCCACCCCCCTATGGTTTATCCTGAATGCCAAATTTTTAGTTCCTTCCCGGGCATCAATTTGACATCTTCACACAAAATTTCAAGTCTTACGTCACCTTAGGTCAGGAGTTATTGAGGTCAAACTGAGGTCATGTTCGAGCAAAAATGACCAAAAAACATGAAATCTTGAAACCATCACAAAAGCTACGGTTACCAAGCAATTTCAAAGTTCTTTATGTGGTTGTGTAGAAATAAAACGGCGCTAAAAAACTGTTATCTCAGATTTTTAAAATTGTGGGATTTTAACCCCCCCCCCCAAAAAACTTAGTCTTTTTTAGAAAAACGCAAAATTATTCCAAAATTTTACGAAAAAACGGAATATGTATGATAGTCCGTGCGCTCTTCTATCTCCATACCAAATTTTAGATCGATATCTCCTTTTTTGGCCAAGCTATGCGAAAAAACTGTTCAAAATTGATGACGTCAATTTTTTTAACCCAATTTTTAGCAATTCTAGACCACGTAGCGCAAAACAAAGACCACCATTAGGCTCCCCGTGACGAGCTACATCGAATCGATTACCATTTAAAAAAATCAGCTTAAATTTGACCTAATTTGACCTGACCTTGACCTGAACTTCACCAGAACATAACCTTAACTGGCCCCAAAGGCTGCCTGACCCACATAATCGCATTTGTCATGTAAAATGGACCATAAAACATGCATCATATGATATTTTCATATTCTGACCCTCAGTGACCTGACCTGGCATCAGTGACCTCAACTAGCAAAATATGTATTTAACGAACAATTCCCATCGATGATTTTCAATGACATGCATTTTAATCGATTTTACAACACATTTCTTGAAATGCCTGTAAACGGTGAAAATTCGACATTTGACCTGACCTCACTCGCTTTGACCTAGGTCAATGAAATTGGGTCACAAGGTAGTTCTCCGCCGTGGCTACCCAACACTGTTTGCGGCTTGTTGCTATGTTGCGTGGTTCTCGAGATCTTAGGGGGAGGGGGCCAAAATGCCCCCCCCCCCCCCACAACAGGGCGCGTTGCTCCGGCAGACCCCAACGGGGCGCGGGTTAAGTCGCAGATGATCTACCCAATGCATTCTAGTCTAGGTAGCTGCACGAAACGCATAGGAACTTCGCAAACTCACTAGAATGAATCGTTACTCCGCGGATTCCCCGGGTGGTTCGCGGATCTCGTCAACTCTTCAGGGAGTTCGCGGTTATCCTGAAGAGTCTTGTTCATCCGCGGATCCCCGCCCGTTTATCCGCGAATATACTAGACATGATGTTCATCCGCGGAGCCACTAGGGACTTCGCGGATACCCTAGGAAATCCGCGGATCCACAGATTTCGCAAACTCACTCTAACATAGCTACTTTTCGGATTATTCTCTGGGATAATAATATCTAACTCACAAGTCCATATATATGGAAATATATGTATATATATATATATATATATATATATATATATATATATATATATATATATATATATATATATATATATATATATATATATATATATATATATATATATATGTATATATATATATATATATATATATATATATATATATATATATATATATATATATATATATATATATATATATATATATATATGCATACATCGTTGAACACGACAGCATTCCTTGTGTTGTTGAGCTTCTTGGACTCATTTTCAAAGCGTCGTACTATACTTTTCTGCTCAGACGTTAAAGTAAATAGAAGTTGACCGAAGGAAGCAATGATTGTTAAAGTAAGAGCTGCAGCTAGGTATAAATGTTTTCCCATGTAGTTAAAATGAAACTTCTTTGTTGAATAATAGTCTATTTAAAGTAAAGCTTTCGATCAACGTTGATCATCATCAGTACAAAATTATAAACGATAGATGCCGCGCATGAATTGTCACAGTTATATACAAAATTACAAATCACATCATTATGTTTTTAACTCGGCACCACGTTTCTGCAAAAGAAGTTTCGCATTTCGGCCTGAGGCGAACTAGATGAACGAAGATGAACAATAAAGCACATCATACTCGTATGTACACACAGTAAACCTATGTGTTAGTCATTTGTCTGTCAAAGAGAGGGATGTTCGTCAGGGTCTTTGTATGTGTGTTGATGATCGGGGATGTGTCTCGAATGATAATGGTCTCTGTGATGGCTAGTCGTCGTCTGTCGTTTTGTCGTGCCAGTATGGTGGTGTTTGCTGTCAGTAGGTCTCTGGTAAGTCGAATCCCGTGGTGCTCTGAAAGATGTGTTTTAGGTCCTCCGTCTTGTAAGTGCATTGTCAGTCGGCGGCTGAGTGATGTGGTCGTGTGTCCAACGTAGTATACGTTACGGGTTGCGCAGTCCCCGGTAGAACACTGAAAACGATATACTACGTTGGTCTGTTGTAGAGTTGTGGTTTGTTCCATGTTGTTCCGCATGATGAGTGAAGAGGTGCGAGGAGACTTATAGTATATTTTGAAGCGTAAGCGATGGTCAGGTTGGGCCGGTGTCACGTTCTTCGAAATGATGTCTCGCATGGCCTTTTCGTCTTTTTTCCAGGATGGTGTGAGGGTGTTTCTGTAGTATATGTCGATGTTGCTACAGGGGTTGTGTCCTGTGTTTGAGTCGGTGTTGCATGCTGTCATGTACTTGTCAATCATGTCACGTGAAATGTCGTCGAAGTCACGGTTACTATAGCCATTGTTGACAAGCATCTGCCTCACTCGCTTCAATTCACGATGAGCCACTTCCCACGTCGAACAAACTTTTAGGGCTCTCCTGACGTACGACCGAATCACACCGCGTCTATACGTATCAGTACAGTCACCATTCGCATTCATACATCGTCCCATGTTTGTCGGTTTCACATAGACATCTGTATCAAAGCCGTTGTCGTTAGCATGAATCATAAGGTCAAGGAAGGGTAATTTCTTGTTTACGTTGAGCTCAGTAGTGAAGGCAAGACCTGACTCAGTTTGGAGCATGCCTCTCAACATTTCCAGATCATCTGCACTGCGCACGTCTACAAAAATATCATCGACGTACCGGCGGTAGATAAAGGGCTTCGGTTCACATTCGTTCAGGACCTTACTTTCGATGTGGCACATAAATGCGTTGGCAAATAGGACACCGAGCGGTGAA